GCTAAGAAGTGGCGTCTTGCTACATAAAATGACAATGACTCTGGTCTTACGCCTTGGTGATCCTCCAGGGGACTAGAGGCTCAAAGGTTAGGACATTCTGGGGTGTGGTATCAAGGTTAACTGCTGGAAGACTCAAGTTATTTGCAGTTTATAACCAACTTTTATCAAAGCGATCTTCTGGATTTCAGCAATGTGATATAGCTGGGTGGAAAGCCTTCAGTGCCTAGCCAACTCCAATGGATACTGAATGTTGTGTTTCCTCAAAGACTTGAGATACAGTGAGCTCATAGATCATAGATGTGCTCTTCCAACTCTGCCAGGAATGTTAAAGCAAGTTCAAGACCATCCAAAGGACTGCTTTGAAGCAGGTTTCAGTGTAAGTACCTATTCATGGTGTTCCAGGGTGTGCCCAAAAGTACAACTCTTTTGACTGGTGTTCAGTTATTCAACTTTGTCTTATTCCTACACCTGTTCCAGGCTCAGACTAGATGTCTCCACATCTAAATTTCCAGAGAATGTGATCTAATAGATAGGTTTTCAGCACATTTAATTGCCTGTGAAGCAAAGAAGTAACAAACCCTGTCATTAAAAAATAGCATACACTTCTGTCAGTGCTCTTGTTTTCTTCAGTAGCTTCCAACCTTTAGCTTGAGGGACTCAGACATATGGCTCAGAAAGAGCTGCCAGTTGGAAGCAGGGCTGAGATACTCATCTACCTCTCCAGTTGAAACTGTCGCATTGGGTCGTAGCAGAGGAGACCAGTGGTGGAGGCGCACACAGGACAGATAGGAGTAAGACCTAAACTCCAGCTGTTGGTCTTGGTACCAATTCTGTATGTTATTTAGTGACCGTTTATTGCAAAAATGCATCAGCAGTTATGGGATTCCAGACTGGAGTATAGATCTCCCATCTACATTCGTGTGGCTGCCTTCTTGTTGAGCTGTAACATATATACCCTTCTTTATCACTCAGCAATTGCACATCTTCAGAAGATGGGGCTTCCTTTCTTGACACACCTCCACTCCTCCTCTGCCAGTGTCCGTACAGCTTGGTGGCAGTGTGTGCTCCTCTGCTTTGAATTGCTACTCAGAGCTTTCCTAGCTAGGTTGCTGCATTTGGAAAAGGCAGTTCTGTCACAGTTCATTGCATCTGTCTTTAACAAGGTAGATAGCTACGTTATTCCTTAGGAGAGGGTTAATAGACTCTCTAAGGCCAGGAGTCTATTTTGCACTGCAAGTTGTCATTTTGAACAGCTACACTGTGCTCCTCAGGCATCATGTAGGGGGATTGTGAGCTGAATTTCACTGTGAGAATTGGAGACCCCAAAATGAAGCTGTGGCAGCAAAGAATGTCATTGTACTGAAGTCTCATTAGGAGTGTTTAGAGTGAGTGGAGAGTGGGTATGATTGCAGGTTATGTGGTAATTTTCCCCTCCCTGCTGTTAGAAACGAACCTATATTAGACAGGAATCAAGATAAAATATAAACTTGGTGTGTCACTGCATTTCCCTTAGGTGAAATTTGGTTGTAGGATAAGAGTGTACCTGGAAACTTAGAAGTGCTTTCAGGTCAACCAATTTAGATACAATTCCGGAATTGTTTGGCCTCACCCTTCCAAATACTTGGAAGACTCAGAAGCTTGAGAAGAACATCGATTAATATAAATCGGCTGTTTTAATGCAATCAAATCTCATCATAAGGATAAAACTTGTCGGGTGGTGATGATATATGGGGAAAGGGAAGGAGTGGTGCTTTGAAAGTTCATGTGCTTTCTCCACCGAGAAGTGGAGGCAAGTGAGCAAATGACAAGAGTTAGACATTAGATGTGCTTCCTAACATGCTACTGGAAATTACTGGCAAAGTCTGTAGTGATGTTGTAAGATCCCATGTTTACTGCTTAAATGGAAATTATAAAGTAGAATTCTTCTTGGGAGGTTTTTGTTTTTTCTTGAGATGTCCAAGCATGGCAGGTAACATCCAAGGGGGGTTGTAGCTTTGTTCCTGTCATTTACAGCTTGGTGTATGAGGCCAGGGTAAGCTGTTTAGACCCAGTCTTGTCCTCCCCACTCCCAGTATTGCTGTGTCACAAGGGTTATGGCAGGAGAACAGCAGTGAGAAGCTCAGAATAAGGCACTGTAGCCAGGTGGTGTCAGAGCTGCAGGTTGGTGCAGATTGTTCAGCTGATAAGTGTGGAGAGGTTTCTATCCAAAATATGATGTGTGCTGGCTTGCTAGTAAGCGCAGACCTAGGTGTCTGGATAGCACTGTAAGATTTGTTTTGCCTATTAGGCTCTGAAAGTGCTCTAGCTAGTTTTCAGAGGTGGTAAAGCTGTTGCAGGGCTACTGTTCCATGCACTGAGTATTGAGTTTCTGGCTTTGCTGGGGATACTGTGTCTGGCTCTGGTGCCAACTTTATTTGCTGTCCTGGCTGAGACAGCTTTACCCTCTTTTGGCCTGTCCCGTCTCTCTGGTGTCGCTCTTTGTTCTCCAAACTATATGATCTCTCAGGCAAGGACTCCCTTTCTGTGCACAGGAAATACTCAGAGGTTGGGACTAAACAATGCTTTTGTGGGTTATTTCTCATGAAAGCTGTTGGCCTTTGAATGGATACAGGTATTTACCTTTGCAGATTAACAGTTGAACAACTCAGCCCTCAATTATTTGCTCAAAGCATGCAGAGAATGTAGAGGGAGTAGTTCTGGAAGGTGCCAAAGGCAAAGGTGGAGAAAATGGCCAGAAAATGGAGCAATTTTGAAGTCTTCTGAAACAATCTGTTTGGTGGTGGTCAAAATAGCAAATAGGGTTTCAGGAACTATGAGGAAGAGCTCAGAACAAGGCAAGAAACATCTTTGCTTCTGTGTCACTGCATATTGGTCTTGTATTTTGAATGCTCCGTGCAGTTTTGCTCACCATCCCCCAAAAAAGGGACGGACTGGAAAGAGTCCAGGAGAGGGCAGGCAGCTGGTCAGAGATGCGGTATGTTCTTTCAGGGCAGGTTGCAAAGATTCGGGTTCTTTAGCTTGGAATTGAGATGACCATGGATAGAATCCTTAGACATTGATGAATGGTTTGGAGAACTTGAAAATGGAACTAGTTCACAAGGCAGAACAATGAAGCTGTGAGGTTTTGTGCTTAAAATACGAAACACTATTTCCTTTTTTTTTTTTTTTTGGCAGGAGAACAGCAGTGAGAAGCTCAGAATAAGGCACTGTAGCCAGGTGGTGTCAGAGCTGCAGGTTGGTGCAGATTGTTCAGCTGATAAGTGTGGAGAGGTTTCTATCCAAAATATGATGTGTGCTGGCTTGCTAGTAAGCGCAGACCTAGGTGTCTGGATAGCACTGTAAGATTTGTTTTGCCTATTAGGCTCTGAAAGTGCTCTAGCTAGTTTTCAGAGGTGGTAAAGCTGTTGCAGGGCTACTGTTCCATGCACTGAGTATTGAGTTTCTGGCTTTGCTGGGGATACTGTGTCTGGCTCTGGTGCCAACTTTATTTGCTGTCCTGGCTGAGACAGCTTTACCCTCTTTTGGCCTGTCCCGTCTCTCTGGTGTCGCTCTTTGTTCTCCAAACTATATGATCTCTCAGGCAAGGACTCCCTTTCTGTGCACAGGAAATACTCAGAGGTTGGGACTAAACAATGCTTTTGTGGGTTATTTCTCATGAAAGCTGTTGGCCTTTGAATGGATACAGGTATTTACCTTTGCAGATTAACAGTTGAACAACTCAGCCCTCAATTATTTGCTCAAAGCATGCAGAGAATGTAGAGGGAGTAGTTCTGGAAGGTGCCAAAGGCAAAGGTGGAGAAAATGGCCAGAAAATGGAGCAATTTTGAAGTCTTCTGAAACAATCTGTTTGGTGGTGGTCAAAATAGCAAATAGGGTTTCAGGAACTATGAGGAAGAGCTCAGAACAAGGCAAGAAACATCTTTGCTTCTGTGTCACTGCATATTGGTCTTGTATTTTGAATGCTCCGTGCAGTTTTGCTCACCATCCCCCAAAAAAGGGACGGACTGGAAAGAGTCCAGGAGAGGGCAGGCAGCTGGTCAGAGATGCGGTATGTTCTTTCAGGGCAGGTTGCAAAGATTCGGGTTCTTTAGCTTGGAATTGAGATGACCATGGATAGAATCCTTAGACATTGATGAATGGTTTGGAGAACTTGAAAATGGAACTAGTTCACAAGGCAGAACAATGAAGCTGTGAGGTTTTGTGCTTAAAATACGAAACACTTTTTCCTTTTTTTTTTTTTTTTTCTTAATAACACAGTTCCCCAGGTGCAGCTTTCAACCTTGGGTCATTCCTAGCCTGCCAAGGGAGGGTTGATTCATGTATGCCTGGCTCTCACACTGCTTCCTTAAGCAGTGGCATAAAGGGCTAGACTTTTAGTCTGACCCAGCCTGATCACTTTTATGACCAAGTCTAGCTCATCTTTTGTGCATCCAGAGCAATTCCACTCACCGCAGCAGGTTGATTTGCATCAAGTAACTGAGTGGAGAATTTGGCCACATCAACCTAGAAACACAGAGAGGAGGTGGGGAATGGGGCACTGAGCTATAAAAACGTTAATAGACGGGGTCATGATGTATAAGATATGTAGTTCTCTTTTCCCAGTATGTAAGAACCAATACTGTTCTGTAAGAGGAACTAACTCTCTGCTGTGTCAGGTCAATGGGATTGTGGGGGAAGGAGGGGCCCTGCATTAGGCTGCAGCTGTAGAAATGCCGTCCTGGAAAATAACAGTTCCCCACAGCAAGGTAGGGTTGCAAACTACTGTACTGCTCTGCATAAATGTTGTGAAATATGGTCTTAGAAAGACCTTCAGGAGAGCCTGAAGCAGATCCCATTTACAGATCTCAGCCTTAGTGGCTTCCGCCTCTGGTAGGTTGTATGTTCCCTCACTTTTGCATAGGGTGGTCTTTCTCTCTCTCCAGAAGCATCCTGTGGTGGAAGGACTCCAAAGAGAATGATGATGGGAGTTGGTGTCAGTATCTGCATGTTCTGTGTGCAGCGTGAGCTGAACTTGGCATTAAAGAGCAAGTTCATTACTTGGAACAGCAAGAATTGACCCTAACATGTGCTGCTCCTGGATGAAGCAAGCAGGTGGGCAGGGGGACTGAAATTAACTCTCTAGTCAATTGCAGGATCTAATATACTTGCAGGGAGTATGTGACAGAACAGAAGAAGGGTGTGAGGAAGAAATTTGGGGTGAATTGTAGCCTGTATTTAGTGCAGTCCTATTTGTCTCTATATAACATGGAACCTTGCTAGCTCATAGTCTTTAGCTGAACATTCAATCATTACTTTTCTCCATTCCCCTACTCATTTGCTCTCCTCTGCCCTGTTTTTGTGCTGCCCTCCAGCCCAAGGGGATTTTAGTTGAGTTGATTTGCTTCTCTGCAAATAACCTAGTAAAAGCAAGAAAGAGACTTTTAATAATGCTGTTTCAGAAACATAAAGAAAGAAGAATTGTAATGTGTGTAAATAGAAGCTTTCTCCTGGATTTTCTTCTAGCAAAATAATTGCATGCTCTCAGCTAATGGTTTGTCGCTACACAAATCGGCTGGGGTACTAGAGTGAGTAGGATACGGTGGTATGAGTAAGCAGTAGGAGGTGAAGAATTTTACTGGGGGAAGGAGAGAAGGCGTTTCCAGGCTCTGAGGTTAAATGTGCAAGGGAAGGGGTAGCTTCGAACAATGATAAAGGAGGTAACTTTTAGGCAGTTGAGAGAAATCCAGGGCTGAAAACAGAAGTCAACTGCTGGATTGCAAACTAGTTATGCTAGTGAGAATGAATAAATGTATTTTCCTTTGCATTTTGATTGCTTTGTACATCATTCATGGGACAAGGAATAGAGCCTGGATCCACAGCTGACTTGCAGTGATTTCTCTGCCACGTGTTCAGCAGATGCCAGCTTTCATGAGTAGGGCAGAGGCAGAGAACTGCAATGCGTGTCTGGGACAGGGCACCTCTGATCCCGTAATTAAGACTTAACTTGTGTGTGTCTCAGCTGTTCTTTGTATGCTGGATAGGCTTACTAGTGTTTAGAAAAGGTTTCTGATGTAACGCTGGCTGATGATAGAATTGAATAGTAGTGCTATTAGGACCTGAGATGAGGCATTCTTAGAAATATAATTTGCGGTGGAGCGTGACTAGCTAATCTCCTAAGCAGTGATTGCAAGACAAGTTTCTTCCAGAAATAGCGGAATACTGAAGACCTGCTTCTTACCCTGGTGTGTTCTTTATCTTTTCTATCTACTTCCTCTTCATATCGACTGTGAAATCCTCAGAGGGCAAGAGCGGTACCTAGTCTGGAGTTTGCCTAAGTCAGTTGGTGAATGACAATTGCAATGTATGGTTGATACTTTTCCTTCAGAGACAGCGTTATTTTAGGTCTCTTCCTCTCTGTCTACTCATTGATGCTTTTTTTTGTTACACTTATCTCCTGTAGAACCCTATTTGGTTGCAAGTCTGTGCATCTCATAAACTTGAAATCCAGAGGAGCTGTTTCACTTTTCAGGAGCAGCTTTGTGGATGCTTGCACAGACCTTCTTACTAACAGATGAAATTAGTTTCCAAAACAAGTTACTATTTGGTACTGTAGTCCATTGCTCAAATTATATTCCTGTATACATATGATGCATGTTACTGACCTTTATTACTTTTTTCCACTAGGATCCGTTTTGCTTTTAGCTAATTGCATAGCTCACTATGGCCCCTTCTTTGCCAGTATTCTCCTCTTCCTCTATACATGTGCAGGATTTATGGTAGACTTGCCTTATTTATTGACCCAATTGGTCCTTTTTTCAGTGAGCCTCTCTGTTGCCAGTATGAGTTCAAGAGCTGCTTGTACCAACTGTGCATTTATTAAAATGGAATGAGAAAATGCTTCAGGAATAATTTGGCTGTCCAGTCATTGTGCCTGCTTATTATCATGAGATCCTGTTGCTGTTACAAAGGCAGAACCTGCATTGCTGAGGTTCCAAAGTCTACGTAGCCCTGTGATAATGTGCGGCTGTCTCCCGAAGAGCAGGTGTAACAGGAACTGTCTTTTATGTTTACTGCCTTTGCTAGAGTCTATGAGATAAGGGATGGCAAGTGGATATTGCCGTACATGAAATCAGTTAGATTCCAATAGGAAAATAGTCAAAAATGCACAAGTAAATTTCTTAGCTGAGTAAGCTTAAATGCGTAAGTATCCTGGTGCAATGAGGGTCTTAAATGGCAACCTTAACCCATACAAGAAGAGCTGCTGTCCAAAGGTCTTGCAGGATCCCCTTCCCTGGAAAGACCTGTTACATCTTCGTAACCTTCATGAAGACCTGAGGTGACTGAAAAGATATTTGGATCCTTTTTATAAGGTCCCTGCTATGTCCAACCTGAGTTTGTTAATGTTCCAGCTCTATGGACTAACTTTGTCTATTTTTCAACAACGTGGCATTTTATGGTGGGAGTAGCAGGTGGATTGTGTGGACTCACCTCCTAGTATTGGGTAGCTAAGTCTGTGGCATGAATACATAAAATGGAGCTTGCATGTTTACCAGTATTTGACACGTGAAAGTTTTCTAAGCATTGTTAGAGCTTGGATGGGTATCTCCTGTGCCTGCTTTTTGTCTCGGAATAGCAAAAGCTAGCATATGACTGTGATGCACACAGAACAGGGCAGATGAGTAAGAAGATGCTATTTTTACTCGATCGCTTTTCAGAATAGAGCAATTGTTATTGCATGTAACTCAAGTACTTGCCAAATATGCTTTAATGTAGCCTTAATTGATCTGCTTAACATTTTAAGCAGCCAGCAGTATTCCCACTGAAACAAGTAGTTATGAAAGGTTTGACACGGTAGGCAGCGGAGAGCACAGAGGCAGCGATTGATCATAGATTTGATCTGCTAAGCCTTGAGCCTACAGATGGAGAGATGAAGACTTTCCATCTGCCCATCCAAAACTTTGGATATATCAAGGCTGTGTTTTGAAGAGTGCCTTCAGGCTTTTCTCGAGACAGGATTCACAGAGTCCCCTCTAGTAAAAGGCAAGGCTTGCCCCCAGATGCCAGTAACTTACTGTGGCTCTTGGTGACTTTTGTGTACCGTCAAGCGTGCTGAGACAAGCTGTCTTCTGGCTGCTTGCCACCCGGGAGGCAGGCGTCTGTGGAGGGAGGCAGCGAGGGGAGCAGAGCATTCACGTTGCCCTGTGAGCTTTGTGTTTGAGCTGCGTGTGCATGCCGTAAGGGATCTGCGTGGGCACGGAGCTCGGCTCACGTGGCAGCTTCTGCAGGGCAGCAAATTCTCTTGCTCCGTCTACATGGAAAAGGCTTGGGTTTGTGTTCTAGCATGTGGAAAAAATACACTGTGTATTGCATTAATTTTGTTCCTTCCCTAGTTTTTTAGGACAGATATGGTCATTTTTCCATTTTGGGTGCTCCACTTACTATTTTTTCACAGAGCTTTTGACTCTCATAATTTGGCAGATCTCAGCAGTCTTTTCTTTAATGTTCTGCAAAAGTAGATATTTTCCTGTAGATTCAGCTCTGCCATTGAGCTAGGAGTACAAGAGCACTTAAGTACCTTTGTTTTAAATAATAGTCTATTTCATAAGTGTAATCTGTGGATCTATGTTATTGTGTCTGCCAGCACCATTTGTTATGTGCTTATTGCTGTGCAGAGCTGTACAGAACATCCACCCTCCCTCCCAAAAAGAAAACAAGTTTCCACCACAGAAAGCTTTCAATCCAATTTAAGTGACAATTGTTGGGAAGCATGAAGAGAGACATAGTATTAATCAACTGTTAGGTGGGGCTTTCAGCAGGGAAAGGAGAATTTAAGTGGTCTGAGACTGGATGAAGAGTTGTATTACTAAGACATCTGGATGATACATGAATATTGAGATTGTATGGAAGAATATTGGAAGAGGTTCTGTTTCAAAATGTAATGATGCTGTTGATATCCAGTGGTATGAGGCTGATACGATCAGATAATTTGGAGGTAGGGTTTGGTGTCTTAATGGACTTCTAAAGTCTGGGAATGATGAGATGCATTTAATTTGTTAGAGTGAAGAGGTGCTGAGACAGTAGGGATATTGTCAGAGCAACAGTGTGGGAAAATGGCCTGAATGCAGAGGGTGGGGTGAACTAGTGCTAGCTAATAACAGGGTAATGAGAAGTAAGAGCCTGGACAAGTATTTTAGTGAAAAACTGCTTTGTCTGTAGGTAGAATCTTTTCCAGATGAACGGCATTAGTTCCGGAAAGAGAGTTAAGAAGAGTCAGCTAAGAAGGTCAGAGCAGTTGGGTTGTGATAATGTTGGTGATTTGTGAGTCTTTTGCAAGAGCTGCCTAGACTCAGTTCTACAGGACATTAACCCCCCCAGTGCCCTTACTTTTGCATAGTTGATCCTGATTTTAGAGCTAGAATTATATACGGTGCTGATTTAAGAGCATAATATGTTGTTACTGATGAAACCATGACCTCTTTCCCTGCTTTTAACAAATCTTGAAAGGGAGCAATTTTGGTTTGTATTGACATTTAAAAGGAGGCGAGAGCTCCACCTCTGTCTGCTACAGAGATGGAAATGTGTATTTCTGTGTGGTAACAGGAAATAAGTTTCATTCAAGCAAATATTCTTTCCTTCTTACCCTCTGTGTAGCTGAGGTTGGAGGCAGCACTAGGGAAAATCAATAGAGCTGGCTACCTGAAGATGTCGTGTCTCATGACAAAGAGAGATTGGCTTTGTCAAATGACTGAGATACTTATCCTCACCTCTGCTTTTCTCCCTCCCGTCCTTCAGTCTGCCTTCTCCCCATGCTGAGGTGTGCCTTCCTTAAGGAACAGGTTCAGTCCAGGTGTATGGTAAGCCAAGACTCTGATGAGGGTGAAGGAGAGAGATGCACTTTTTCCTTCTCCCTCTACCCCTAGGAAATAAGAAAAGTTGCTCTCCCTGCCTTCCCCGGTTTCAACAACTTTGGAAAAGTCTTTCCTGAGGCAGCCTGTGTTTCTTTTAACCTGTCGCCTCTCTTCAATAAAACGGTAATGGGCATTTATGTAATCACTAGCAGCCTCTCCATTTTTTTCTCTTTTGTATCCTGAAGGAGCCCAGTATAAAGCATGGCTGAAACAGCACTAACGTTCATTACTTCTGAAAGAATGATGGGCTAAGAGTCGAGCCACATCTTGCCATGTGATTTATTTCTTTTTTAAGCCATCCAGGTGATGCTTATGCTACCATGCTATCAGAAATCTTGATCATTTGCTCCCTGTAATGCATGGTAAATCAATGCTGTAACCCAGGCGGCTTTCCTTGTCCATCCCTTAATCCGTATTGTTTGGGAGCACTGGGAAGGGAGGAGTTGCACTCCACAGGAAACTTGCTGCTGGCAATGTTCTTCCAGGCAGTGTTAAGTCCCACTGTGCTTTGTGATTTCTCTCTAGCGAGCACTGGAAGGGGGCTGACAGCCAAAACCTGCCTGTTTCTGGATGCTGCTCATGTGTATTAATGTTTCAAAGGTGTATGCAGAAGTCTTTCTCTTCAGCTAGGCAAGACCCTTGCGGAAGACAGTTGGAAGGATTTTTATGGACTGAATTCCATTCCATAGTTTTTCACTGCTATCCAGCCCTTGCTGGAGCAGGGGTGGCTGGGAGTACTTTCACAGGTGTTTTAGGGTATCTTCTGTTTTTTGTGAAGGAGGGGATTAGTTTGGCTACTAACAGAACAGTTTCCATCCTCACTGGGCTGCAAAAAAGTCTGTCTTGGTGGATCACATCCATCTTTTCTGTGGTCTGATGGTTAAGTAAAGTAGTCATTAGTAATTACTTGTTTCTTTCAGGTAGGTAAATATGATCTAGAGGAGATAGATAATGATAATGGATATGATCTAGGGGAGAGAGAGAAACTTTTGGTGTCTTAAGATACACTGATATAAATATAAACCACAAAGTAATATCTCTTTGAAACCTCCCATGGGAGCTTAAAAGCCTTAAAGACTCCCTTCATCATAACAGCTTGGCAGGTTCTGGATACCTCCCCATAATGGCCATACAGCCAGAGCAAGTGAAGCCTATTAGTCTCGCTGCAGAAGTAAAAAAGATTTTGCTTTTTCTCTGATACAGAAAGAGGTCCTGCAAGGGAAAAATCAAGCAACAGCTTTGTTCAAGTTCAATTCCATTGCAGTCTTTTAGCCATGACAAAAGCAAAATCCAGGAAGGGGCATAGGTATGGAGTGCACCTAGAAATAAAGGACTCAAAAGTTAGGAAAGGCCTCTACTAAAATTATTAAGGTTTAGATATTTATGTGTTGGGTTGACTCGGTCTGGCTGGGAAAACTAGTAGGAGGAAAGGACTGACTTGAAGACAGTCATCTATTTTTCCCTCCTCCCCAATGAGAGGGAATGCCAGAACAATGGGATTTGGTGTTGCAGTGCCTTCTGCCAACCTGCAGAATTGGTTCAAACCAGGGAAGAAAGAGACTTGCAAGAAGAGCTGCAGTTAGGCTTAGGGAAAATCTCCTTAGAGCTAGTTTGGGAAATGAGGCTCTGTAGCAGCTCTTCAGGTTATCAGGGAGATGTTGCAGATGCCTGCCCCGCTGAAATGAGACAGAAAGATTACATATAAGAACAACAGCCACAAAATCTTATGCAGACCCCTTTTCCCTATGTGCTTTTTTTTCCCTATTAAAATAAAAAATGCTCTTTTGTCTGAGGAACAAAAGTGGAAACCCAGGAGTTCTCCAAAAGCTTGTCAGAGGGTTTTCAGTGCTTTTAAAGCAAAGCCACGACTTTCTATGCAAGGCCTAAGCAGGTGGAGGATCCCTTTTGAGAAAGAAGGGATTTTTAGCTGGAAATCCTGCTCCTGGGGTGGCTAGTAGAAACCCCGCCTCACCTCCAGAAGCTCTGTGTCATTCTCCTCTTTTGTCTCCTTCCCCAGAAGGTCTCCACTGGACATCATGTCTAGTGATTCCTCTTCCTCTCATGCTGTCTGCTAAAGAATTGACTATTTGGAGAACGGTCTCTGTCTCTTTTACATACTTGTAGAAGTCCAGGACTAATCCCCTACAGCTACTCACAGTGAGACTGAAATTTAATTCCCTTCCCATTTTTAGTTTCATTTACTAGTTTTCTGTGGGTCAGTGATGTATTTTTCTGTTCTTCTGTACAAAATGGCCACAATTTGTAATTAAACATGTTGCAATTCTTTACTGCTTTCCATCACTCAGTGTTGTTACTGAATTACATAATGTTCTTTTGACTTGAAGATAGGAGATATTTCCATCCCTAGCTTGCAGATGTAGGTATTGTAGTGCTTGGGCAGATCACTTACCTTTTACAAATATTTCGATGGTTTTTTTAAAACTCCAAGGAGAAAAGGCCAACTTTTTGGCATCTGCTTTAATTCTGCACTGAGGAATTGCTGCAATTTAGGCTCCAAGTTTTCAATTAAGACTCTGGGATAGGTGAATGGGTTTTCAAAAGATGCTGTAGTTGAAGGACTTGTTGCCTTCTCTGGCAGCTTGGGCCTGTTTCCTGTGAGAGGTTTTCAAGGGCTGATCCGTAGCTGGTAGAAACTGGCAGTTCTGATTCCTTCCTCTGGTCCCCACCCTTTGCTTCGAAGCCAAGCAAAAGGGCAGCTTTTATTTTGGCTTTGTATTGTGTTTTGGGTTTCTATTCAGTTCTGTCAAACATTGCAGCACAGTATCTGAGCAAAATTCTTCTGTGTACAGGGGAAGTTGGGACCATTAACTATGAGTAATGCTAAAAGTAGCAGTTACCCAGGAACATGAATGCAAAAATCGGATAGTTGTGTGAAAGGGAAGTTGCCTTAGGATCCACAACTTTTAAAATTGCTACGTGTGCCGAGAAGGTTGTTAAAGCTACTCTCTTTGTAAATGTGAAATTTTGGACAGAAAACAATTAAATGACTGCAGTAGTTCTAAATGTGCATTTCTGTGGTATGGTTTGCATTTGTTTTATTTTTTCCTCTGGCTGCTTTCCTTATTCTGCTCTCATTAGTCCACACCTCATTATATGCTCCTAGAGAGTACATCCCTCTTGCTTATTAGAATGGTGTAGGTGGTAATTTGCAGTGGTACAAAGTGCTGAAGGAGAGATAATCAGCTGGGTAAGTCATTACTCTGTGCAGAGACTGACTTGCTGACTCACCCTGCGCAACCTACTTGTCCCACATTGTTTAGGGCCTAGAATGTTGTAGTAATTGAACATGTAATAGAAAAACTTAACTTGCTTGCCTAGAAAAGAAAAGAAGGTATGGCTGAATGATGAATACGTGGAATATATTGTCCTATCCTAGTAAAAGCTGTAAGTTGAGCATCTTGGCTGCTGTAATGAATATAGTGGAGCACAGTTCAGCACAGCAGCCTGCACTAAATAGCTTTATACAGTGCTGCGTTGCCTCTCATTTACTTTCTTAAATATCTCACCCTGAATCCATGTCAAGGTACAGACAGTTCTTTTGCCGTGATCTGACATAGCTCTGGTTACCACATGGCACTTCTTGGTACTTTGTGATAAAAGTTTGCAACATTGGGTTCTTCTTTCCTAAGCAATTTTTTCTCTCTTATATTTTTTTTCCCCAGCTATCCATTGCAATCTGAATCCAAATGGTATTGATCACCCTGTCCCCACAGAAGGTATTAATCTGCAACTTGAAGGTGAAGGAGTTGAATCGCCCTCTGTTAAGAACACTAGTACTCCAAAAGGGCCAGAGTCAAAAGAGACACCCAAGAGACAACAAGTGGAGCCAGAAATATCCAAGGTAGGTTTCTTATTTATTTTGGTGAGTCTTAAAGAACCCAGGCTCCTTGAAGTCCTGGGTACCACCTGAAAAGCATTTATCATCCTGTTAAAGACATACAAAGGTGCAAAAAGTAACAGTCTGAGGAAGTGGGTGTTACAGCAGCAAGGTATTGCCATGGAGTTTTACCCTCCACGCATCTTGGAGGTGGCACTGTTTTATTTTTCTCTAGATGAAGATAATTGAAATAATGGGATCTCTCTTTTTCAGGCGCTGTGGATACTTTTTTTCCAAATGACTTGGGTAACAACCAGTATGGGAACAGATGGGTTTTTCTTGAGTGGTTTTTTTGTTTGCTTGTTTATTTTTTCCTGGGGCAGGTAAGGGAAGCAAAAGGTTCTATGGATATATGAATATATGGATTTTTATATGGGTGACTGAGTTTAATAAACCCGTAACTAATTTTAGGTAAAATACTAGGTCAGTTCTTCTGTGTCTGATATGTCAGTGAATAAACATACTTCAGAGGTGAATTCCTAAAGACAAATGAAGTGTCCATTCCCATTCATAAGCCGCTGTTTCTTGTTTGTGTGCAGCAGACATGACTACCAAGTGCAGGTGAGTGTGTGTGCTCCAGACACTTTGGGTATAAAACAATAATGCGTCATATTAGTTTTTAACTGGAATGAAAAATAAGAGAATGTTATAAAATTAAATTTAGGAGATGTTCTTTAAAAGTCTTATCAGTCTTTTTGATCTTTGAAGGCCTAAACCCAACATTTTGGGGGTGATTTCTGCAGAGCGGAAAATTGAGTTTTTACTGAATTGGACACTTGGAGAATTAATAGAGCAAATAAAGCTAGTATCCTTTTTTCTTTTTTTTTTTAAGATTAAAAAAAGGCAGTAACAATTAATTTAGTGACTGAACAAATAAGAGCATTTGCTCCAGTCATCAACACAATAAATGTAACAGATAACACACATACAGTTGTGTTGTATTTCACTTTTAGAATAAAATAGCATTAAACTCTTTGAGCAGTAGCCTTGACAATGAAGGTGTGGTATGAATTCTCCATTCTGACTTTTATCTAAAATATCTAGTTTTAAATGAGTACAATTTAAGCTGATTTCATTCTGTCTTGAGTCATTGAACTACATCCAGTACAGGTTGGCATTGATCAAAATCACTGCTACTTGCAGTCTGTTTTGTGGCCAGTTATCAAGCACGTTAATTTCTCTTGAACTCCTGGAGAACAGGTTTGTGCTTGTTGCTTTGAATCATTCATATGGTAACAAGACCACCAAATTTTGGATGGGCTTTGAGACAAAGCTCGGCTAATAATGCATTTACCCAGCTTTTTGCAGACAAAAGCAAGCTAACCCTGCCTGTATTTCAACATCACCAGATGAAAATCTGTGCTGTACTGAAAGCTATGGAGGTGTGTTAAGCTCAGAGGAAATCTTACAAGCCTGGACGTGAAGAAGCTAAATGACGCAATGGGACTTCCAATTGAGAGTGGGCTCATGTGTAGTTGACATGTAACATAGGCAGATCAAGCTTGCCTTTGCTTGCAAAAGACTCATCCTAGTGGAAAATCAGGATGAAATACATCAGTGATTTAATGTAATGGAGACAGTTTCCACTGCCTGAGCTGTACTTCTTGGACTGATGAATAGAAAACCATTTCCATGGCTGTCCCTGCTGGAGGTAGCTGGGGAAGAGAGGAAGCATAGTGCTCTCAAAGAACTCAAATCAGCTGTTGGTTTCCTACACCTGATTGCAGTAGCTTTCTAAATAAAGTTAGGCATGCTTCAGATTTAAAAACAAACCACTAAACATTTTCCTTGATGGAATAAGCTTGGCATAATAGTATCAAGCAAATGAAGTGGACTCTTTTTCTGAAGGTATTGCTGCCTTGTTAGTAACTCTGGTTTTATGTGTTGTATTAACTTAGTGATGTTTTTCATCTGGCTTCCTATGTTACAGCCTGAGGTGGCCTGTCTTTTCTGGGTTGCTCTGCCTTAAATTTAAAAATTGTGTTGTTTTGTCCTCTAAAATGTGAATATAGAGTTGAGTTTGTAACTTGTGTGGCTTTAAGAGTTGAATTAAGCTGCCATTATGAAACTTTATCCGTGCCATCATATGTGTACAGCGGAAAGATGAGCAGGAATAAAGTGTTGTAAATAAAACATTGTGGGCAGATCCATTTGTTTTATATTTCCTCATTGTTCAGTTGTTTTTAAAAAGGTTTCTTTCCAATCCTGTGTATTCCAATATTACTAACTTATAGCCACAGTAGTGAGACTTACATTGCACAAAGCAATGCAATCTATTGAATGCAATTTAAGATGCCTTATAGACCATCTTTCACCTTTCTAATTTGTCTTCACTGGGACCAATTCCAGCCCTTTAAACCCCTGGCTGCTTTGGGGTTTTGCTGTCCAAAGAAACACACAAAATCTCCCTTCTAATGAAGTATGTTCTTCTGTCATCAGCTATGGACCCACGGAACAGTAGTAACTCATGGGCTACAGACAGATTTAAAGTTCCTTTTTATGCAGCTACTGTAATGTAAATAGGGGAACGCAAGTGTTTGTTTCAATATTTGAGATGCAGACAGCAGGAAGTGTAGTGTGAGCGAAGGACCATTCATTTAGAAGTTCTTGATGAGTACGGCTTTTGCTGAGACAGATTGGACCAGGTGGTCCTTGAGGTCCCTCACACCCCCCTGTTCAGTGATAATATACTTTTGAAGTCCTGTACTTCTCAGAGTATAGGCTTTAACAGAAGGTGACTTTCCTAACAAAATTCAGAAAACCAGCTCTTACAGAAGTATTAACTTGTATCAAGGTTCCCCACATGTTGCACTCATAAAGCCCTCTTCACTGTAAGCATGAGACCCAAATCTGGCCTTTCATTATTAGAAGATTATTTATTCAGGTAGTTTTGATTCCTAAATAAGGTGTGCGTATCTGGTGATACACTTTGTCTCATTATGTGGTACCAGCAGTAGGAAATAATAAAGGCTTTTTAACAGCAACCACTACAGTTAGACTTTTTATCTTGTTTTAGCAATGGTAGTTTTTTATTGGACTCGGAGACAAATTAACAGTCCTTTAAAATGTTCATGAAAACTATGAAAAGAAACTGGTAAAAGAAGTGAGAAGGTTTTTTATCTTGCCTTCTGTTGATAAGTGCTATATAAACACCAGTAGACTATACTACTTTACTGCAGTGCAGCTCATTAATTCTTTTGGTTAATTTTGCTTTCTTAAAAAAAATGCTTTTTATTTTAAAAATTGCATCGAACGATAGGAAAGGGCTGACTGAACTCAATAATAAGAGGATGAGAATTTATTTCGGTTTACTGGGCCCAGTTCAGGACTGACTGGGGTAGAAGCAGCTCCTCTGGCTTCCAGGAGAGTTCTGCTCTGCTCGGGAAGTATCTGGTGTGTTGTTTCAAGTGTGTGATGAACTGTCCAAGCATGAAAGAGAGGCTTCTCAGTAATATGGGTGTTACAGAATTCTTAGAAATATAAAAGTGTTTTGTGAGTTATTTTAAAAAATAAAAATGCTCTGGTACTGTTCGCTAACAAGAGAATAGAAAAAGTAATTTTCTAGAAGAATTCTCCAGGTTTTTCAGTCAGTCAGTTTTTGCTTCACAGTGTTTATCCCTTTTGGTCAAGCTTTCAAAATGGGTTGGATGAGAAAGAAAGTATTTGCCAAGTAGCAGTCCCAGTGGTGAGCGTGATGGAACATACGTGTTCATCAGCACAGCTGCTTGGTAAGCTGAGGCCACTTTATTCTACCAACCCCACCCTTTTTTTTTTTCTTTTATATTTGCAATTGGTTGAGAAACACCAATGCCCACTGAACTGGGGCCATGAGGTTTTACCGTTTTGCTTGGTGGACTTGGTGGAGTTGTCATCCCTGGAGATATTTAAAAGATGTATAGATGTGGTGCTGAGGAGCGTGGTTTAGTGGTGGACTTGACAGTGTTACGTTAACAGTTGGACCTTAAAGGTCTTTTCCAACCTAAACTATTGTAGTGCAGAATAGAGCTGCATGGTTCAGAAGTTACGTTGTCAAGAGCCAGGAAAACAAGAAACCTTTCTCTCTGTCGGGGTCCTGTAAGCCACGTTATGACAGCAGGACAAATGCCTGATTCAGAATCCAAGTGTATTCTTGCTGTAGCATGTTTTTCCCTATTGTTATATCATCCATTGTTGTTACAAATAGCGTAATGTGAAAGACCACATTTTTGCAGCGAGGTTTCTATGTTCAGCATAAAAGATCTGGCTTCTCCTGTCCATCCTGTTTGCCCTGACTGCGTGCCTGGGGATTCTGAAATATCATCTGCCCTGACAGCAGCCGCATGGAAGTGGGAGATCTTGCCTGAGTTAGTTTGTTGTGTTCTGCCCAGGGCAGTGAGGAGAGGAGCAGGGCATCTGCAAAGGTCCGTTATTCATTTCATTCTCCTTCACTCCCCATCACAAGGTGGGATTGGTTTCCTGTTGTTTCCCTTCTTTCTCCCCATAGGAAGTCAAAATAATCAGCTCAGATTAATATTCTTTAGATGGGTGTAAGTAGAACAGATGAAGTTTACTCACAAAGACCAGGATTGATTGACCTTCCAAACTATTTAAAGGGATTATGAAATTCATCTGTACAAGCATGCCCTATCTATGACTTCAGTCCATCAGGTGATAATAGGAAGAGAAATTTCTGTTTGTCGGGCTTTTTACAGTTGGACTTTCACCAAAAAATCAACGATGAAAACATTTTCAGTGGTTACGTGCACCCAGTGAAGGTCGGGAAGGTGTTGGCCCGTGGGAAGCGGTGGAGTCTGACCCTGCGATGCGCCGGGGGCTGCACAAATGCACAGCAAAGCGGTGGGGTGTGCTGCGGGGAGCACACGCAGCCCTCGTGTAGGGCAGGCAAGAGCAGATGGTTACAGAGAGGCAGCTGAGGGAGCATAAGGAGGGAAATGTAGTCTGATCTGGCTCCTGTTGCCCTGTGA